TAGTCGTCGTGCTACCGGAGGGCATCGCTGCCACATTGGGCACCACCATTGTTTCGATATAGCTGGTCAAGGGCGTATCACTGTGTCATGCCGGGAGGCGCCGCCGCCGTGCTTCGCTCACCGGCCGGTACTCTTGAGCAACACACATCACGCCACCAAGCGCACTATTGCTTCATAGTCCAGCAGCACACGCACAACCGCGTCCCCTAGCTGCCAAACACCAGACGTTCACACCGAGCAAATTTCTTAGGATGCATTTGGTTCACATATCTCTTTTAGGGCATTTTGCATACTTGTATCGGTTGGGCTTGTTTGAGCTAATGTAGGCTAAAAAGCAACAACTGCATGTAGTTTGGTTGCCTGCATTAGGCTCCATGCATGAGGGGAGCAATTTCTACCATGATGTTTGGTTGCATGCGTCGCTGTTATTAGACAAACAACACGTTGTTTGGTTGCAAACGTCATAAGGTGTGATCACCACTTCTCACTAGTGGTGACCTTACCACATACACACAACATCGTCTTGTCCTAGCTAGGAAACAAATGGAGGTTTATTCTAGCTAGTAGCAAATGTCAGTACAAATTATTAGGAGCCAATATGGTTGAATAGAAGAAAGTTCAACGATCCTAACTAGGTGGAAGTCCATCCTCTTCCTCTTCCTCTTCTTCGTCATCTTCTTTTGCTGATTTGCTTCTTCTTCTTCTTCTTTTCTTGTGTTTCTGCCTCTTCTTCTTATTCTTCTTCAAATCCTTATTTGACCTCTGTTATCCCACATTGAGTGAGCCTACTCCAGCCTTTTGTTCTTCCATGCTTCATTGTCAAATTCCTCCACACCATGGCCAAAGCTGATCACGTCATCAGGCATCACATCTTCCTCCTCCGGCACAAGTTCATCACAACCCCATTGTAGGATCCAGTTGTGAATGATGTGACATGTAAGAGCAAGCTTAACCTGGGTAGGGTAAGGGTGGAATGGCTTCTGATCCAGAATCTTATACATATTCTTCAAAGCTCCAAATGCCCCCTCAAACATTACTCTAAGACTGGAGTGTCTGAGATTGAATAGTTCCTGAGAAGTCCTAGGATAGTTTCCTACCTAAGAACTCGTGCATGTGGTACCTGGTTTTTCTGAAGGGTGGAAGAACACTAGGCTGACATGCAGAGCCAGCATCTCCTAAGTAGAACTTGCCATCTGGTATGTTGGTGCCATCAGGTCTACACATGCTGTCACTTAGAATATTAGCATCATGTGCTGATCCTTCCCAGCCGGCCAGAACATATGTGAACCTCATATCAAAGTCAATAGCGACAAGTACATTGTGGCTTGTGTAGTGCTGCTCCCTTTATGTGTTGCAGATTGAGACCCTGACACTCTGGCAGTGACATGAGTATCATCTATTGCCCCAATGTGATCTTGAAATGGCATTACAAGATGGTGTTATGGCTACAGCAGAACATCAAGAGCATATCAAGGCATGATCTACATACTGTCAGTGCTCACCTTGAAGTATGGATACCATCTTGGGCTAGTGCTAATCTTGGTAGGAGTCCGGCCGGTTGGTGACACGATCATCTCTCCTCCGAGTTCCCCAACAACATACATCACTTGCTTGAAGTACCTGGAGATGGTCTCCATTGATCTCCTGAAGGTGCTGTGTATAACATTGAACCTCTGGTTATGACCAACAACATGGAGGAACATGGCTACTTCCTCTTCCACAGAGTTGTGGATGCTATCTTCTAGCATCCCCCTGCTTCTGAACGTCTGCACAAGCCTTGAGAAAGGTGCTCTTTTCATTCTAAGCATCCACAGAGCTTCTATGTCATTGCAGTTCTAGATGTAGTTCAGATTCTCTATCCTCTCTTGATCCTGAATTAACATCGGATCATATTGGATGAGAGGTATTTCATTCCGATAAACATATCTCTTATGGACCAACAAGATCCAGGCCTGAACCACAGCTATCACCGCTGCTGCCTGAACTACAAGCTTTTCATCGGTTCATGCACAACCTAAGTGACATCCATGATGCGGCCAGCAATGGCGCAATCGACCCTAAACGGTCCTATCGAACGATCTAACAGAGGAGGGGGCGGGAGAGTTTACCGGCTTCGGGGTCGCGCGGGGGGAGGGGGGGCATGGCTGAGACGAGGATGCCCGGACGAAGTCGAAGATGAAGAAGAGAAGCAGCTGCCGCTGCCGGGGAGTGCTGCCGCCAACGCTGCAACCGCAGATCTGAGTCGTCACCGCCGTCGGTGCCAAGAACATAGGATGGTTTATCCTAGAGTGAAGGGTGAGCGAGTAAATGTGAGGGGGGAGGGGGTAGGGTATATTTCGCGCCATCCCACCTCCGCCGATTACCCTCTCCCGCCATCTCTGACCAAATACCCCTTGCACCGTGCCTTATGCCAGGACCAGCTTTTGCACCCTAGTCAGCCCGGCTGGCTGAAAACGGCCGATTCGAGTATTTCCAACGAGTCAGACTCTGAGATGCTTTAAGTTTCATGCAAATGTGATCCAGGCCTACTTGCACACAATCATATGACACATTTTCATCCCGCCCGAGACTGGTTCGGCTCTATGCAGTCTACCAAACACATCATTAGTGAACGCCTTTTTTTTTGAAATGGAACACTATGATTCCATACATTAACCAGGTCCAGCCAGGCTACTGGTCCGTCGAACATACATCATCTGGGAGGGCTTCAAGCCATATCTCTCGAGCAGCTGGGCGCTTTGCTCCAAAGGCAGCAACAGCATGAGCTAAGGCATTACAGTCCCTTGGGGCAAAAGAGAAAGAAATTTGGCTAAAGTTCAAGCGGGCAAACTCGCGTATATCTCTGAAAATGATGCCTTCGGCCGCCAGGTCTGATTCCCTGCTAGTTAGTGCCTTCACCAGTTCTTTACTGTCCAGCTCGACTTGGACACACGTCATGCCCCAAGCGGACGCCGTCTCAATGGCCACATCACATGCTTCTTCTTCTGCTTGCAGTGCTGACGCCACATGTTTCAGATGGCCAGCTCTAGAACCCCTTACGTCCCCTGCATGGTCTCTGATTATGAAGCCCTCAGCCCCCAGCCCCCAGTACCATGTGCCGCATGGTAGGCGCCGTCGCAGTTAATTTTCAGGATATCCCCCTCGGGCCTCGTCCACTCCTGTGGTGGTTGTGCTCCTTGTGTACTTCGAGGTTGTCGGCAGAGTTGCAGCGAGTCAGAAGCCCAATGGCTGATCTCTGCAGGTTGATTGTCCAGGGGAATATGCTTGTCGCCTGCATTAACTTTGTTCCGCCATGTCCACCACCTCCACAGTTGGCATGCAACAAGCAGTTTTTTTATCTTTAGGTAGACGAAGCGTTTCATGCATCACCTCCATGGCTCCCCTACATGCGGTAAGCCGCTCCCTTAGGTGCTCCAGTTGCAACGCTCGCCACACCTTCCTGACCTGTTTGCATCGCAAAAACAAGTGTGCCCCGTCCTCATCAAGCCTCTTGCATCAAACGCATAGGGTTTCACACTCGACTCCTCTCCGTTTTATACTACTCTTCAAAGGGAGACTGTTGTGTGCAAACCGCCATAAGAAATGTTGAATTTTTGGCTGGCAAGGCAACGACCAAATCTCTTTCCATTTCCATCCATGGTGGACAGGTTCAAGGCCCCCGGTCTTTGTAAGTCACGCTCTTGCACATACAACTTGTATGCTGACTTCACCAAAAATGGCCCTTGTTATCATGGAACCATGCATAGAAATCCTCAAAATCCTCCCTGATAGGTGTTGCTAAGATAGTTGTGGCTTCTTCATCTTGGAAAATATCTCTTACCAGCACCTCATCCCAAGTATGCGTGTCCGGATCAAGAAGCTCGCTAACTTTGGTCAGAAGGCAATTACCCCGAGGGGTTGCAGGTATCCTTTGCCCTTTCCGATTCAGCCATGGATTTGCCCAGATGTTTATCGAGCTGCCATCCCCCACTCGATAGGTCAAGCCATCCTTAAGCAGCGCCACCCCCTTCAAAATACTTCTCCAGGTGTATGAGATCCCCGGGTGTGCCGTTGCCTTCAGAATACTAGTGTTTGGGAAATATCTAGCTTTTAGAACTCTGGCACAAAGAGATTCCGGGGCTATTAGCATCCGCCAGGCCTGGCGTGCCAACATAGCTAGGTTGAAGCCATAGATATCTCGGAAACCCATCCCCCCATCCTTCTTTGGTTTTGTCAGGAGTTCCCAGCTTAGCCAATGCATAGTACTGGTTTTCTCTTGCTTTGCCCACCAGAAACGGCAAATCTTGGATCCAATCTCCTCACATAGAGTTTTTGTCAAGTCAAAGCAGGACATTGCAAAGGTCGGTATCGCTTGTGCACAAGCTTTAATCAAGGCATTTTTCCCCATTTTGGACAATAACCTCTCCTGCCAACCTTGGATCTTTTGCCAAATTCTGTCTTTCAGGTATTCAAAAACTTGTTTTTGAGCTTTGCCCACATATACTGGGAGGACTAGATATCTCTCGGACATGGCTTAAAACATATCAAGATCCGTGTTCCATAACAGGACGATGTAGTGACACCGTAGCAAGGTTGGGGCCGGGGCACGGCCATCCTGTCATGCCATCGAGATTCACGTGCACATGATCACACAGTGATCTATCGTGATGCAAACGACACCTACAGGTGCACCATGATTCGCCTCTCTTTCCAACTTGAATCTGCAGCGAGGCAGCGAGGCAGCGAGGCGAAGAGAGCTGCACATGTCGACGGCGATGCAGGATCCGGTTCTGCATGTCGACTGCCGCCGATGCGCCAGGATTCATTGCGGAGGTCGGCACCGCACCCGCCGTGCAACACTGCAAGGAATAAGTCAACTCGCAGCGTAGAGACATAGAAATAGAGACAAAACAAATCGCACAACACGGAGATTTCCGGCTCCCTTTGCCTCTTCGAGAGTGGCGGCCCTCCTCCCCCTCCCCAACCAACCCACCCGCCGCCCGCCCCGCATCGTCGCCATCATGTCCGATCTCCGCGCCCCGGAGCACCAGGTCGCCGGCCACCGCGCGGCGCCCGACAAGCTCGGGCCGCTCGTCGACGGCGCCGGCCTCTTCTACAAGCCGCTGCAGGCCCTCGACCGCGGCGAGCAGGAGCTCGCCTTCTACACGGCCTTCTCCGCCCACCCCGACGTGCCGCCCCGCATCCGGGACACCTTCTTCCCGCGCTTCCACGGCACCCGCCTTCTCCCCACCGCCTCCTCCCCCGGCGAGTCCCACCCGCACCTCATCCTCGACGACCTCCTCAAGGGCCTCGCCGCGCCCTCCGTCACCGACATCAAGATCGGCGCCTGCACGTGGCCCCCGCGCGCGCCGGAGCCCTACGTCACCAAGTGCCTCGCCAAGGACCGCGGCTCCACCAGCGTGCTCCTCGGCTTCCGCGTCTCGGGGGTCATGGTATCCGACGCCAGCGGCGCCGTCTGGCGCCCGGACAGGTCCGAGCTCAAGGGGACGGACATCCCCGGCGTGCGCCGCATGCTCCGCCGCTACGTGTCGTCCGCCGGCGGCGACGGCGGGGGCGAGGACTGCGCGCTCGCGGCGGCCGTGTACGGGGGCGAGGGCGGGGTCCTGGCGCAGCTGCGCGAGCTCAAGGCGTGGTTCGAGGTGCAGACGCTGTTCCACTTCTACTCGGCGTCGGTGCTGCTGAGCTACGACGCCAACGCGGTGACCGCGCCCGGCGGCGCGCCGAGGGTGAAGCTGGTGGACTTCGCGCATGTGGTGGAGAGCGAGGGGGTGATCGACCACAACTTCTTGGGCGGCCTCTGCTCCCTCATCAAGTTCATAGACGACATTGTCTCTTCTGACAAGGCGCCTCCGGTTCAGGTCTGAGGAGATCCTGGTACTCTACTTTGGGAGCTGATACAGTACAAAAGGTAAAATCTAAGGCCGTTGTTTATTGTTCTTTTCGCTTTGGGAGTACTAGATACTGAGTCAGTAGTCAAAAGAATGTAAACTGGAGTGACAAAATTGCTCATGGTCCTTAGTACATTGTCTTCTCTGACGAGGGAAGGAAATTGTGAAAGAATTGATTCTGCTGTCATGGTGGTCACGAAATCGGTGGGATTGCACAAACCTCAAAAGAGGATAATCGAATAGAATATTGTGACTTGAACAAAGTTAGGATTAAGGATGCCACGAAGACTTTGCAACCAAAGTATTGGTTCTGCATGTAGAGAAGCTAGATAAAGGAAGCGAAATTGGC